CTCAACCCTTAATATGCAAACGACCTGACTATTTGAAATGGATACTATAATTTAAAGAATGTAAAATTGATTAATGTTTATACCTAGATACGGGTCTGGTACAAGCTTTTCATGTAGAGCATTGTGACGTGTAACGATCACTTGGCCGCACAATATTGGTTTGTTTTCACTAGACTGAGGCGGTTTTGCGATGTGGCCATGCTCTTCGCCTAAAATTCAGACAGTATGCTTTTATAAGCTTTTGTTGTGTGTTAGTTTTAGATAACGTTGTAGGTTATGAAATCTAAGAGAAATAGACTTATAGGTTAGATGAAATTAGTTCACACGGCTGCACTTCTGGTTACCACGATATACCAACCAAAGCGAATCTGTTTTTGGACTCCGCCCTCAGTTTAAAATAAAGTGGAGAAATATGACAGTTTTATTTAACCTAATATTTGTATTGTAATAAAAAACTTATTAAAAACACAAATATTGCTAAATAATATGTTGTTGTGCATATTAAGTATCATCTATATGTTTTATATTGCTAACACAATTGAATTCTTAGAAATACCATATTTATTTCAAATTATTATGTTATTTAATTATAATTTGAAAAAAATATAATGTCATAGAAAACTATTTTATATTTATTTTTAAAATAGCAAATATAATTTTGACTCTGAATTGTCTGTTTTGAAAGTTCCGGTGTGTATCAGAAGTGATCGTTTTTTAATCTTATTGTCAGACGATTACGCTCCAACGGTGATCGATAGTCACCAAACTTCAAACTCTACGAACTTAAAATAAAATCTATGTAGAGCCGCTCGATAAACTGTAGATATTTTGCAAACTATATGTAGAAAGTATTAATTCCTTTTCGAAAAACGGGCGAAGAAATAATTTGTTGCTTTTAATTTTTTACTTTTTGACTTTGATTAATTTTTTAAGTATTCAGTAAATGAACGATAGATTCGATTCGACTTTCATTGAGTTGACTTTCAATATGGAATGTATTTATTGTTTGTTAATTAGTTTTTATGTTCTCTGAAGGCCGAATCATTGATAATATGCGAACATAAAAAAGAAATTTAATGATTTCTAAGAAACTCTACAGAAATTCTAAGGCTAGGTATATTTTAATTAAAATTTTCCTAGTAAACGATATCGGTACCTGTTTGATGTGACTACTTTTAAGTATAAAAACTGAGGCAAAAAGAGTTTTATTCATAACAAGTAGCTATAATGATTTTTTTAGTTATTTTGTGCGCACTACTCCTTTCATCGAAAAACTTTGGAACTTAAAAGTCTGTTTATTTATAGATTTATAGAACAACTTAAAACTGAATGAAAATCGAACCACCCTTTTAAGTATTCTTGCAACAGTGGGCGATGAGCGTTAATTTTATTTGTACGAGGCACGATATCCGGTTGCGACGGAAGTTAACGCCTACTCGCTAAGTAATGAGGCTACTGTTACAAATCGCCCAGTAGTACAAAACGACCTATGTTTTTCAATTGGACAGTAAAAAATAAACTTTATATGCTTCCATTTGAATCGAGGTTTCCTCAGCTAAACTCACTACCGGTTTGAGTGGACGTTTGTTATTGAATTCATTCATAGAGTTAATTCATAGTAAGTGGTTAGTTAGTGCTATTCTTAGCGTCAACTCGATTATGGTGATTGATTGTCTAAGTAATCAGTAGGTTTTGGTAATAGTGGACTGTTTAATAAATCTATAAGATATTAAATTGGTTAACTGTAACAAATTTCATAAATGGAAAAGGAAGTCTCCCTTTTATTTATCTTATGAAGGCAAATTGTTGCTATATTTTTTTTGAGAAGATAAGATCCTCGCAGTTTGTAACTAAGTTGAAGCCATGTAAATCAAAAACTAATTTAGATTCCGATTCAAAAGTCGGAAAGCGATGCGTACCATAATGCGTTCTTTACATCAAAAACACATTTAAAAGAAGTTAGATTGGCTTACCGGAGTTGGCGCCCGGCCATACGTTATTCGAGCTTTCTGCCGACCGGAGTCAGCCCTAATCCGAGAAGATTCCCCCAAGATTGTTTGCAAGCTCCGGTCCATCTAAATATGACGAAAAGTTTCCCACATAAATTACATCGACAAACAGCCAAATCACTATCGATCGGCCCACCAATTTGTTTTTGATAATATCATACGTGTAAATTAGTAAAAATTCGTAAAAATTAAAAAAAATAACTAGATAACTAGATATTTTGACAATAATTTTACTATAAAGTTTTTAGTATGGTCTATCTTTACTATAAGTTGGTCGTTGCCAATGTACAAGAGATATAAAAACATAAAGAGATATTAAAAATAGAGTCTAAATATGATACTCTTTCTCTAAGCTGACATATAAGTGTTTTGAATAATTATTTTAAAACAATAAGTAATTCGGAGTCGTTTATAATCATCGTAGAGTTGATACAAAAAGCTACAAAAAACTACAATCGAATCATTACTTACAGAAAATTTAAAGAATTTATGATAAATAAATGATTCAACTTAGTACTTTTAGTGTTAGCGTAGGAAGTCAAGATAAATTATTTGTTAGAGGTTCACCTTTGACTATACTACTTGCCTAAAAAAATAATCATGACAACTATTATATTTGCATATTGTTTTAGAAAAATCAAAAGTTTTGCTACATCGAACGTACTTTTCTACAGATTACTTCTTCAAATTCTGTATCAATTAAAAATTACAATGGTTACTCGTTTTCATTTTATCTTTATTAAGACAGGGTTCCCAATAAGTCCAAAGCAACACTTTAGTTATTTGTCTTCACAAAAGTGTGCTTTTCTCTCGAAAGCAATTTTGTTTCCTTCGTTATAGTTTAAGTTAAAGCAACAAGAATTAGGCATATCATATAATTAGGCAAAATTATTTGGCGACCTTACCTTATCCAAAAGAAGGGATTAGCTACATTCATCGATAATTATTAATTGCATATTTGATGCAAGATTCAAATTGAGGGAAACATCATTATTTAATTATTTTGTTGAGAGTATATTTTCTTGGAAGTTTTTAAGCAATAAAAGATCGATGTTTAAAACAAGCTTTATTTTACAACCTATTCACTTTAGTATTTTTACGTGTAATTACGTAGTTAAGTTTACGTTTATTCACGTACGAACATAATAATTAATCATATTTAAAACAGTCAGTACATTTCTGTCATTAAAACGCACACCATTGATTTGGCTTAATGTTATATATACATCATATCTAACTATGTAGCTTTTTATCTTATTTTAGCAATTTGGCAACATTTTAACGGTAACATTTACATACACACTATTATTAAACTATAATTGACAGAAGAAATTGGGCTTGAAATTAATATATTATGAACATCATTAAGTTAGATTTGAATGATAATAACATTTACAGTCATATTCAACGCAATATACATAACTAATTGTGATGACCCTTGCTTTGTTTTATTGTTTTGGAGATAATGGTTTTTTTGGAACCATTTTTACTAAGGAGATAGTCAACAACTATAAAGAAAAGATATTTGTAGTCAATGACGTATCACAGCGAATATGAGGTTTACTCAAGCATATAATTGTATGGTATCAATTCTGCTGTACAAATTAGACCAAATTTAGGTTTCGTCTTATCAGACTTCCTGTTAAATAGTGAAAATAATAATGATAAAGAATAATCTTGGTATATTATAGTATGCAGGTGTATTCCATGTGTCTACTGCAGACAGTTAAAACAGAACCAAATTAAAGTCTGATTTCTTTAAAGTTTCGTTTAAAGAGATCACACCAGAATCGACACCAGTATAGAATTAAAATATAAACAGTATTTCTAATGACACAAACTGTTATACCCCGCTCAGTCTTACTCTATGTACAAAATAACTGTTTATGATATATAGTGCACTTAATATTAATATTTTTATTATTATAATACGTGCATTGATTTTACTAATCATATTACTTAACGGTGTAACAGATTCAGAAAAATATCGTTATATTTAAAATCATTGTTCATTCATTTTAAACTAATAGATTTGTCATATTTTTTTTTTCATATAAATCTGATACACCATAAAATTTACTTAGGGTAAGGAACTGTTGTACAATATAATAAATTTTGTATACAATTAACAACAACGTTTATTTATACATATAAATATACGTTAAGTAATCAAAACAGAGTTATATCAGCTATTGTATAATAGTAATGTTTCTACTACAATATAATTTATATTAGTTTACCTGTTTTCAAGTGACAATAATTTAATTCTCATCGTCTTAATTATATTTATGAAATGTCATATTTTTTACTATGTTTTTAGTTAGTTTGACATGTTAGTGGTAGTAAAATAATAACGTGGTATTATATAATTACTTATTCGAATCAACTTAAGAAGTAAACAGGAATTGTTAGGATCACTCTAGATATCAGTGGTTCTTTAACTTTTTGTCTGGCGGCTCCAAAAAAAATTATAATTAACATATATTTTTTAAACCCAGTAGGCTAATTTATATATTATATATATATAAATATCAGTGTTAATAAAATAACATGATTAACTAAAGGTCCGGGATTACCCATAGCATTTTAAAAAAAAATTTAGACTGGACCCGATACACACCATGATTTTGATCGCGACCAGTTTAGAAAATGCGGCACTAGCTCTTTATTTTTATAACTGCCGTTGCACAAAGTTCCATTAAAGTTTTCTTTAGTTTAAAGCGACATTAGGGATACAAATTTTCAAATTTAGAACATTTATTATAGCTTAAAGTCGTTATTAAACCGTAATGGACGTTTTTGTAACTGAGCGGTTAGATTATTTTTGATATTCATTTATAATTACGGAATGTGAATAATAATAGTACATGACTTTAAAAGTTTTTCAAATCATTTGTTAAGCTAACGTGTGGCTCTTATGAAGTTTTTTGATGACATTGAATTCTGTTAAAGATTTGCATGTTTTTGTATCGTGTTATTTTTTTTAATCTTGTATGTACATTCGAATACAATTCTGCCTTTCCGAGCCTTAATCACAGTAACAGCAAAATTTGCGTTTTTGAGTTCTTCATATGACGATATGGAGAAAAAAAAGCCCAATTTAAACCCTATAAGCCTAATATATTCATTTTTCCTACGACCATTAATAGTATTTTATTTTCGTTTCATTTAAAATAAAGGCGCCTAAAATGTAAATTTATCTGAAAATACGCTATGATTACCATCTAATATGCAGTCACAGTTCACTTTACTGCATTTTAAACAGTCAAACAAATGATCTAGCTAAAAACTAGAAGTAGTAATATGGTTTAAAAAACTATTATGACTATAAGTAATGTATTTGTCATGTTTTCAACCTGAAATTTGTGAATTATTTTAATATTCTAACTTTTCTTACATTTTGCACTTAAAATTTGGTAATAAACAGTGATTTGTTTAAAATACACAAAATTTAAACTTTACGCGGGTTTTTGGTTTCTGGTTTTTGTTATTACTGCTGTTTAGGTACGAGACGGCAGAATTGTAATTAAATGTTAATTAACAATACAATAAGTGAGTTTCTTAACAGTCCCAATACTATTACTACCACTAGCATATCGTCTTAACAATGCACAAAATAAAATTAAAATAATCCAGCTAAAATCTGTTTTGTTATATACAAACTAGTGCTATTATCAGCAGAAGCTCTAAGCCTTCAATTAATATACAAAATGGACAGTGTTTTTGTAAACCATAAATGATAAAGTGTAGAAAACTTAAAAATATATGGCTATGATAGTTAGGACCACCATCCATATATAACTTCTTCTCCAATCAGCGTCACCTGCAAATAGATTATATGTTTAATTTGATTGTAGTTTAAAGAAGTCTAAAATCTAACATGATCCCAATACGAAGGCATGGACTGTTTATTAATGATAAAGTGTAGAAAACTTATTACTATATATAATGCAAAGGTGACAGACTAATTAGTCTCAGTGAGTTCACTAAGTAAAAGGGTGATATGAAGTATTTTGGTAATGTATTAATAATCAAATATATTTATATCACCTCTCTTCAATTAACCCCTTCGGGACTAGGGACCAGGACAAACATTCTAAAACCAAATCAGCGAAAAGTTTTTATGTCATTGAAGCCCACGCTAAAAACAAAAAAGTTTTTCGAAATACGTTTTCAATTAATGTTTTAAATCTATTAGATTAATTTATTAGTTTTGGATAACCTTTGGGGTTATATGTACTTTTATAATAACCAAATGCTATAGTGATGTACCTGTGACTTGCGATGCTCCACCGACCCAGTTGAGATGCGTCTTCCCACCACCCTCGTCTGTCTTCTGTTTCCCCTTATCAATTTCATTCAGGTTAGACTGATATTTGTTTCCTAAACATCAAGAAAAAATATATAAAATATACCTAACCAGTACAGTAACTAAAAAATGAATATTCTGCAGTGTTTGATGCCATTTCCTATATGTTCACTAATGAGATGAACGATCATCATGTTAAGCAAATTAAATTTTTTACTTATTTATAAACTACATTTTTTTATTCAAATACCTAGTATAAAATAATGAAATGAAGCAGAAAATTATTAAGAATATGATAAAGCTCATAGGGTAAAAGTTCCAATATGTCGGGGACGCTGTGGCTTCGAACAGTTATTGAAAAGTTGCGCAATATTGTCGAGTGGCCGGGCAACCCGTAAATTCGTAATGGGCACAAAAAATAAAACGGAGAGATCGCCAGCCCGCCCGCCGCCGGCCATTGCGCCCGCCGCGCGAAAAACAACTCGCGCCAGAACTTACGTCCGTATACCATCTCAACCTAATGGATTTTTCAAGTACATTGGTGCATGATCAAACAGTATGTCTTGCAGATTTCCAATTAATTTTCCACGATTTTACCTCACATTATTATCTATGACTATTATTGATAAAATATTGATAAATACCGTAATAATTATAACACATTTTAAACTTATTGTGAAAATAATTCATTCGGCTGTTTGGGTGGATTGTCTGAACATTGATGGAAATACATTCACTAGTAGCCAAAACTAACAAGTGCTTGAAAAGTTGTCAGTCCTGTTAGGTCTCGGGTGGTTCAATGGTTAGAGCAGTCGCTCAGAATGCGGAAAGTTACAAGTTTGAATCTTATTTCCAGGTATCTGTATCTGGGGCTGGTGATTGTTTCCATCATTTTTCTTGAAGATAATTGATATTAATGGAGAGTATTTAACGTATTTTGTCATGAGCCCACGTACAGTTTTCATTTCATATTACATTACTGGAAATGGTTTAATCTCATGTTTTTTTATGTAATACTGAACCTGCAATGTTTTCATAACATATTTTTTTATAAATGCAATAAAATTTACAAAATATGTACATTCGCTAAAAACCGCTAAAAAGTTATGAATTTATTTTTTCAGCATCAAATATTATTTTCTATATGAAGAAAATCTGCTATATGAGCTACTACATAATATTATTAATACATCTACTTTACCCCTCCTTAGTTGGCGAACTTATGCAGACAATGGCACTTATAATAAGGAAGAGAGACGGGCGACACGAACACTTGTCAGTAATAGGTTGTTGCAAGATGTCGACCGAACGTCGCAACATGTTGGCCGGCCAACTTCCCAATAATGCGAGTAATGACGCAAGACAAGTGCGACGTTTTGTGCGGACGACTTATTGGTCAGAGCGTGTGTTGTCGTATGAACATACATTATCATTAGATGACTGAGCAGAAGGGGGTAATATAGTTTATAAAAATATGTTTTTATTAAAATTGCAAGACATGAATATCATTTTTTATGCTTTAAATACGCGTGATAAAAAAAAATGATTGGTTGTTGCATCTCATGAGAATTTGGCTGTTATTTTTTCAATTTAAAAGAAGGTTTTATTGTTTTGCGTTATCTGCGTAAACTTTACAACAAACAAATTTGATTGAGATCTATAAATACTTAAATCGGTTCTATAAAAATATCATGAAATTTATTTGGTGAGTATTTTCAATAATAGTTTTAAGATGGTTCTTACGGAAATTGGAAAACTGTAGAAAAACTTAACAGCTATTTCTGTGAAATTTTACCGACAGGATCGGCTAGTAAAATAATTTCACTTTTATTTGATGTATAGTAAGTAAGTCAGTGAAATAAATCTTTGTTTGGATATTGAAAAATATACCACGAATTTAATTAAAACAAATATTGGTAAATATTGATCGCTAGTTATTTCAACAGCTATAATGTTATTGTCTGATTACATATCATAGAGTTTAATTAATCAAGTCATTAAGCCAAATGCTAAAACCCACTCCTTGATATACGTTATAAATCCACTTTAACATGACTAAATGTTTATTACGCAGTCATTTTTATGACCGAAATCATTATAAACTTGTTTTATGATGGAATATGAATGCATCGTACGTTGTACCACTTCATAAAGCGTTTGTGTATGATTTGTATATACTTTATGGTGCTATAAAATTCGAAGCCAGTTAACAAACTACAGCTAGCGACAAGCAGATTGACGTAACCGTTTTATGAACTATAAACAAATATAATGGCCACTAATAATAACTGAAGCATCAGCAAACAGCGAAAACAAACTGTGCGGTGAACGATCCCTCGGGATACAACTCGTAAAGGTAATATTATCTCTTAATAAACGGAATCGTCGACGTAAAAATGTTGTAGCGTGCATTTTATCGACGCTGTATCAAATATTAATGGACTCATTCAACCAGAGTGTTTGTAAGGTATTTAATTTCTCTTGCAATAATTTACTTTCTGTCCGATTTATATGCATTCAGTTATTGTAAACAGAAAACTAATAAACTATGTAACTTAAAATACATTGAGAATAATATAAACAGGAATTGGTTTCTATGTTATTAAAATAAAAGATAAACTATGAATATATCTTTCTTCGCTTGTATGAGCGATTTAGAATAACTTCCGATTATCGACTTTAATTTTCGTGATAGGTTTGTTTGACTTTCATAAGCATTACAGAAAGCTCGTGCCTTCACTAAACAATTATGTTTATAGCGAAAGACACTATAATGATGACTGATATTCTTACTTACTCTATGATGACTGCTGTCAGATACATTTCCTGACATAAAACGTAATCGTCAGCACGTTCGTTTTATCAGCATGTTAGGAAATATGTTTTGGAATATTACCTTTGTCCGTGAGTGGCGTATCTCGTCGGGGCGGACGCGACGGTGGCGGCAGAGTGGCGGCGCGCGGGTCGGGCGTCGTCGTCGGTGGAGTCGATACTACGCAAACAAATTACTTGATTACTTTCGACAGTAAAAACTATTTAATTACACGTATTAGAATTATTGTTTTCCCTCCTTTTTAAAAATATTAATTAATAATGATAACAATTTCAAATTGAAATAGGGACGTGACTGAAAATTGCTGAAAATTGAAAAATATTTACAGAGAAAGAGAGTGATATATGTATACAGAGATATATTGTTGAAATATCACATGACGTAGATTTTCTACAAAGTAGTTATTTCATGACTTAAATGTAATAGGCATTAAAGTTGTGTAGTGAAGTTATTTCTTGTTAACGAAGCAAAAAATATTTGGTATCTAATATTTACCAGTTATCTGAGTGAAGGACTTAATGAAATAGAATTAGTACAGCGGCGTTATAGAAATCAAATGTTTTTATAGAATAGGTAAAATATATGTTTATATAGTCAACTTATTTTATCGAAAATTAATAAAGACGCTTTTTTTAAAAGAGTAGTTTTAAGTAATTTCTTACTGTATAAGCGTATAGTTCCATCCGATTCCCCTCTAGGATTTTTGGCTACACACTTATATGTTCCATAGTCTTCATTAGTAATGTGCCTTATAAGAAGTCTCATGTGCGTCTTATATGCGGGTATGCCTACAGTATTCTCCATGTGATATTTGGAGGTCTCATGGATCATGTTGCCATCATCCCTGGTCCAGTAGTTGAGAGAAGTAGGATGCGCTTCGGTAAAACATTCCAGGGTCACGTTATAATATAGTGGTGCACCAACCAGCTGATGTGGAATCCATAGCATAGGAGGAACTGTAATATTAATTTCATTTTAATGTTTTGGCTTTTTATATACGGTTAATATATAAATTTTATATGTTTTACAGTTTTTAAAATGTAGTTAATACAACATTTTAAATAACATTTCCTTTATATGGCAGTGTTAGCTCCTTATCATCATCATCATCATCATAATCGGCCCTTTTACATCCTTATTGCATGTGAATGAATGTTGCTTAGCAGGAAGGATCGTGCGCCTCGGAGCTTATCCACTACCCTACCGAACTACCCCGCTACCCAGTAGATAGAAATTATTACTAACTGCAGAATTGTGTAAAGAAGTTGAAATCATATTATAACGATACAAAATAAAATATACTACATATAAAAAAAACTTACAATCAACGCTAACTTTGACCCTTTTAGAAACAGTCGGCGGTACACCGTTGCTGGCTATGCACAGATAAGCGCCCATATCCAATCTCGATATGCGAGCCATTTCCAAAACTTCGCCCTCCCATTCGGACACTGCAAAAGAACCGTAAAGTTAGACGAACCGATTGATAAATAAAATTGGCATAGCTTTTTGCGGTCATTAACAAAGTCATCTAACCGGTGTGCCCTTTGCTGATGGATATTTTTGAGTTGTCGTCCCGTTTCCACTTGATGGTAGGCTTAGGGGAGCCATTAGCGCGACACGTCAGCGTGACGTTGGCGCCCTCCCGGACGATAACGTCGCTAGAGCTCAGAGAGTCGTCGATCGTTGGCGGCACTGCAAACAAACGTTAAGACCACTTTATTGGACGTAAATTTATGCCAGTAAATAACGGCCTGTGCACGCTTTGCATTTTCATCGCCAAGTTTTCACGGAGTTTGCTTGTACCGCTTAAGTGTTGCATACAACTATAACGTGAATATTATGCTTACACTGTGATGCATGTTTTTCCATACATGTTAATAAGGTAAATAAAAAACTAGCAGCATCTGTATTTTTGTATATCTATTTAATTGCGAGAATTCTACATGAAATTAACAATGAAAACATATTCAATTATTAGAATACATGGTGCAATTTTGTCTTAGTTAAAATCGGAATTAATGCTTTTTCTTTCGTTGCGCTTTCTGCCACCCTTATCTACACTCGCGTGTTGTAGGTAAAGCAGAGAGTTAACTTTTTAACTATCTGTCTGTAAACTTCAACGAAAGAGTTCGAGTTGTTTTAACGTGAAGAAATACTGATCTTCACACTGAAGTATTGTTCGATGTAAATAGGATTTATAATGCGAGCGGAATGAATGTGTTTGTCGTAAACATAATAAACTTCAATTGTTTTTTTTTAACAGACTTAAATTGTAAAGCACTTAGTTCTACAAGATTTTTTATTTACTCATGTTCACCGATGTCTCCACGAACTGTAGACCAATTTTGTGAATTAGTTTATTGTGATATAAAATTTCTTCAAAAATGAAGCGTCTATTTTGATTTTATATGAAAATAAATGGAGGCATTTTTTTAAATTTACAAAAAAAAAATGATATTTTATTTAGTCATCCATAAGAACAAAAAGATTGCACATATTGCTTCCCCATGATCTTTTTTTGTATCTCACTAAATAAAATCTCTGCTTTTCTTATTAAAGTAAGTAAAAAAAGTTTCATGGCATGTTCATAAACGGCCTATCAATAGTATTTTATTTGCTAATTAAAGTTTGTTTCACATAAAAAAATATTCAGAACTACACTTACCTACGACGTGGAGGTATCCGAATTGTGTTTTAGCTGTGACGGTGTTGATTTGGCACATGTATCTGCCGCGGTCCTCCTCTCGCACGTCCGATATGTGTAGAAACCACGTGCGGTGCTTGTCATGCGTCACACTCACGCGAGGGTTGCGCGTGATCACGTGATTGTGGACAGTTAGAATCGCTGACTGTTCGAAGTGCATCCAGGCGACCTGTCACAATAACATTTTATTATACTGATTTCTTATATTTTCACGTGCACTACTCGTTATATAAGACTATTGAACAGACATAGCGCCATTTTATTTGATTTCATGACATCTCGGACCTTTTACATTTCGTGTTCAAACGTTATGAGATCAAATATACCCGTTCAAAACAGTTTTAAAAAGAAATAAAGACTGAAGTTGATGGTTTAATTTAAGATAGAATTCTATTTTGTATTGATCTAAGGTGGAACAATACAGATTTATTATCAATTCATATGCTCATTGTCCAAATTAATCTGTGATAAATGTTTTCTTTTGCTCATAAAGTGCAGCATTATTAATGCACATAACAATGGATTTGCTTTATAGTAGTTTGGGGAATCAAAAAATCAGGGAAATTCCGAAAATGACATTAAACATGCACTATATTGTTTCTAAAAGTTTTTTATCTATTAAAAGTTTATTTATTTGTTAACTTTATCAACAACCGAGTTTATTTTGTCTAAATAAAAAGTGGTTCGACTTTGTGCAACGACGATCACTAACTTAAATGAAAAGGAAGCCAATAATTACTCTTTAAAAAATTTGAACAAGAATTTAGAACAAGTTGAGTTTCTTTAATCAGCAATCAAACCATGGGAAAGCAGTTGCCAAGCATAAAATCATTTGGCTATGGGAGTTATCGAATTTTTATTACCATTATGTTATGGTAGTATATTATTCTCCTATTACTAAACATACATAAGTTTTTAGTCGTTAAAAATATTATGTCGATGTATTTATTACTCCAGTACGTATCAGTCAAGTGATACACCCCCCATAGGTAAAAACGACGCGGGGGTGTGGAGAATGTTTTGCCTCAATGATTTCCAATCGTATTTCCAATTGGACCAGTGACGTAAGCGGAAATTAAAGAAAGCACCGTTTCTTTTCGAATACTTTTTTTTCTTCCAAAATAAATATATCACAAGATTGGGAATATTGAAAAATATGGAGTTGGCTCCTGTAACAGCTCAGTATTGGGGTAAACATTGGTTATACAATAATACTGTTAAAAACAAAACTTTGTGCATCATTTTTGTTTTTTTTTCCTATCTGTTACTGTTTTATGAATATTTGAACAGTTTAACGTTAGAAACCTCCATGCTAATTACAAGATAGTAGTATTTAGAAACTACTGATTAATATCGGGTTTGTTAATAAATAGTGAGTGACACGCGTGACTTCAATTTTTATTTATTTATGAAATAATAGCTAATCATTTACAGTGTAATCACCATCGTTATCTACTACTGTACGCCACTGATTAGGCAAAGATTGGATTGCGTCTCTGTAAAACTTTGCTTATTGTAACGGGAGTTCATCATGAAAACTTTTTTCACGCAAATGATTACTGTAAGTGACCGGAGTAAACTAAAATCTGTTGGCTCTAAGTCCGGTGAATACGGAAGATGTTGAACTATTTCCCAGTTCGACTCCAGTAGTTTCTGTCGTGTACTCTTAGCAATATGCGGTCGAGCATTATCATGGAGGAAAAATATTTTGTCATGTTGTGGATGTTTACGATGAAGTACAAGCTTCAGATTATCGAGTTGATTACAGTACACATTCGTTGTGATCGTGGTATTGATAGGAAGAATTTCCCAGTATATTACGACATGTACATCCCACCATACCTAGAGCATAACCTTGCGAGGATGAAGTTTTTTTTGCGTAGGTTTGCCTGGTTCATTGCGGTCTAGCCACTGGTGCTTGCATGTATGGTTAACATACATAACCCACTTTTATATATATATAAAATATAATAATTTAAGACCTTTTTAAATTTTATGACCTGAAATGTAGTCTCAGAAAACACAAAAATATTGGTAAACTCGCAAATCAATTAGACAGCACGCCGCGTACGCAACATTAATTCTTTCATGATTTACGAAACAAGACAGAAGATAACGTTTCCATTCATAATTCGAAATGCAGACTTTAAAAAAATTAAGTAAAATATTGGAACACAAACAATCATCAATATATTTTCAATTTTTAATTTTGCTAGTGACAGAAAATGTCATTACTCGTATTTTGTTAGATGTGCTTAAAATTAACGTTGTTTAGCAAGTTTATAAAAATATTATAAGAAATTTATCATTTATTAAATTGCAAATTTATCTTATTACATAAAACAGCTTTACCAACTTTATTATAAGTATCGGCTTTGTAGTCAATCAAAAACAAAACTATTCAATAACTTCCACTACGCGGTTAAATGGTTGAAGTTCATAATTCTTGGATAAGCACAGTTAAAAAGAGTCCATTAAACTTTGAATTTGACGCTTGATATATATAAACATAAATATACTAGCTCCGTAAAGTATATTATAAAAATATATTAAAAATCGGTCTACTAGCAAAAAACAAACTAATTCTTCCTCTTTATAATAATAGTATAGACGATTATTAATTATTTTATTTTTCGATTTGAAAAACCAAGAAGAGCTTAATTCAAAAGTTAGACGTGCATAATTTACCCGCTAATCCGGCTTTGAGTTTGAATCATAGTCGAGCGCAGTTCTTTTATCAAGATTGTGCCAATATACGTGAAGTTTGTTGGGAGTCGTGCCCGGTCACATTGTACCTATCTTAAGTGATGCGGTTCTCAGCCGTCGTCTAATTTATAATGGACTTGAGCAAACTTGGGCCATTTTATTATGCAATGGGACGGTAACCCCTCTAATGACCCGACCTGACTTGTCGCCGTAACCTGGGGCTTGGGGATATTAAACAAGACTTAATATTACGGCTGATTTATGTTAAAATAATTTCATGTAAAACTCAAATTGCTTCTCTGAAAACCGCAAAGAAATTATCGAATAGTTCTATTTAAATTTTAGGTTACATTGAAATCACATTTTCATTTCTATGAAGTGATTATTTTAAAGTAGGTTCAATTACCTACTCACAAAAGTAATAAAGTGCACATTGATTGTTTGAATTGATGTTAATTCAAGCTACAATTTAATTTATTTTATACATTATTTTAAATTTCAATTTTATTTTATACTAGCTTTCCGCCAGCGGCTTCGCCCGCGTTATTTCTACGGAACTGTTTAGCGGTATAAATATTATAGTAAGAATAATTACTCCTATGTAAACAGCTTTAATAATATAATAATTCATATCGATTCATATCGTGACACGGATATAATTACAATGCGCAATGGTATTTAATTGCGAATACCACAGTAACCATTGTTACGATGGTAACATTAAAATTCCATAAACAAATTTCAGTCCCATTTTCATCCTTATTTAGTTAAAGCTTTTCGGGATAAAATATAGCCTATGTCCACCGCATAGGGGAGCATATGGGAAACTACATCTCCCTTATGTAAAATTCTTATGTATTTTAAATCCTTATGTAAACAAACAAACAATCAAATGTTTGCTCTTTATAATATTATGTAGATATAGACAATTTAGGTTATTAGATTTTCATCTGAATTAGTTTAAAGAAAAAGCGAATCAACAAGAAGACATCAAACTTAGATTAGTCAAGATGAGGATCGTCTTAAGTAGTTTCAACATGAACGATATGGGTAAAGCGTTGTTAGCGGAGACGCCGGCGGACGTAAATCCGATCTGGCTAATTTGTGGCCGGCGCGGCGCCTAATCTAATCCCGGTGCGGTTGTCCCTTCGCGCTCATTCAATTACAGGCCACAGCTTGCCGCCGTGTCGGCCGCGCTTATCACCCGCCTGCCGCGCCGCCCCGGTCATCATACTGACATAATATTTTATATACATATATAAAACAAATAACGCTTATAGTTGTCTTTACGCTGGGATCTTTTAAACTATACAACGGATTTTAATGTGGATTTCAACAATATAAAAAGTGATTCGAGTGAAAGGTTTATTATAATACCGTCCAAGTGGGCGAAGTGAAGCGGGAAGCTAGTTTATATAGTTTTCCTCATGCGGCTTCACCTGCTAGAATTCAGTTATTATCATTATTTTCGTGATAAAAACTATATCCTTTCCTAAGTTTAGTTCTAAATGTGTACCAAGTTTCAATAAAATTAGAACGTAATACACACAGTAACAGGAACTTTGTCTATGTGTACACACAGAGTTACTGTCGCTTTTATGATGAACAGTTTTATTTACAAACATGTAAATTATGAGACAGCGCCAACTCCTAATAGTTAAAAAAATCTCATACTTATTTTGATTGTGGGTTACGTCAATAAATTAAGGTTAACGCACTTATCTGTCGGTGAAATCGTATTCGTTTAACTGGCAAAGCTCCTCTGCCAAGACCAACTTCATAATATAAAATCAGTATTACCTCCAGCTCTGTATCAGAATCTTAAATTTGCAGTAAATGGTTATCTTCAACATAAACCATAAATGATATTTTCAAACTCCACTTTTATTGTTTTAACGGTAAAGATAAAATTAAGGTGGAATCAAAATGAACGAGATAAGCTCTTCAGTGATGAGTTTTCAGCTCTCTGTAAGTCATGACGTTTGTTGATTAGATTTATTTTCTAAAACCGCATATCAATATAACTCTCTACGAGCTTAGATCTATGTAATTTCGTGTAGTTATTTTATATGCTAATTAAACTTTTTTCTCCATAAGACCTTTCGTCAGACTTCAAAATACAAATAAAAAAATCTCAATTGGTCCAGCCTTTCTCGAGTTTTGTGTTTAGAAATTAATTTGCTACTTTATGTATTTTTATGCCGTATTTAAAAAATATTAGACTACCCGAAATCTCCTTCAAGCATTAAATATAAAGTGTTTTCACAAAAAAAAATATAGTGCACATAAAATATAGTAACCATTAAGCGAGATAAAAATATTTAGCAGAGTAAGTGAGTAGGAAATGAAGCTGGTAAATGCAAATATGATATTAGAAATGGCGGCAGCGACTAACTAATTTCGTTCGTCTGCGGATCCTAAGTGAATTAAGGCACCTTCACATAAAGTTAGTTCTGTACTTGC